AGAAAAAGCACTTCAAAGCTCAGGCAAGGATAGTGTCAGCCTGAGTTTGGGGGGGGGGGCAAGCCCCCATTGAGAGGCAGGCACCCTGAATCCTGTGTGGCTGCTGTTTCATTCTCCAGGAGCAGGTGTGAAGCTGTAGACCCCCCCCCAGCACACCAGCCCCCGTCGAGCGCATCCATCCCTTTTAGCCAGCGGCTTTATCATGGCGATCTGAATGCGGCGGACATGTGGGGGCGGGTGGGGGGGGGTGGTTCCTCCAGCTGCCGTATGAAGGTGTGTTTGTTTAAGGTGGGAAACCGTGATGTATCCAGTGTGGGGGGGGGGGGGCACTTTGACTACTCTTACTCAGTAGTGAGTGTGTTTCAGGTCAGCACTGATGTATGAGGGGGGGCACTGGGGTGCAAGTCAGTCTCAACTGCAGCAAAGTGTGACACCGGTTATGTTTAACACTGGGGGGCGCTGTGACGGACATCCGGGTGACGTCCGAAACGTAACTTATCCAGTAAGGAAAAAATATTCACGACAAAAAAGGAAATAAAAATTAAAAAAGAGAAAAGAACACTAAACAGCTATATAAAGACTCCATAATTCACTGTGCAAGAGCTGTGAAATACTGCCCTCTATATAACATTAAAGCAGCTTAAAACCACTGAATGAATTTAGGAAGTTTAAGCATTAAGTAGCTATTAATTTTAGCTTTAGAGTCTGGGATGAGAGATCTGTTTGTGAGGCTCATTTCACAGGCTGTGTTTTGGGAGTGGGGGTTGGCTGTGATCCACGGGTCACCCAGTAAGTAATCCTCAACTAAGGGTTTGTCACGCTGGTCAGGCTGACAGAGGGAGGATTGGCTGATTAAAACCACAAGCCTCGGGGGGGGGGGGGGGGTGTATGGGAAAGCTAATTAAAGCCCATTAGGTCCTGCTGAGATTTGGGAACCCCAGGCCCGAGATAAAAGCAGGGGGCAGGAAAATGGGATTGTAGGGAGCAGCCGAGGACGGTCCCGGGGCGCCGGAGCCCAATTAAAGAGCTCGTCGCGTGTGCGATCGCTGCCAAGCCCCCGGGCGGCTGATACCCCCCCCCCCCGGGCCACAGACAACAAGAAACTTTGGTCTGATAAAGTAAACCTCAGTGCGTCTGGCCTGGTGTGGGGGTGCGAGGGAGGGGGGTGCATGATGGTAAATAATGCATGAAGAGGGAGTGAGAGACCCCCCCCC